CGAGGAAACGCAGCCAGCGTTCTTGGCACGATACCACGGCACGGGAGTAGGACTATATGATAATTAAGTTATTAGTTTTAGTTTCTTTTATTATAGCTTTTTAGTATTGTATATAATAAAAAAAAGATGAAATGTAAGTCAACCTAAGATTATGTTATATGAAATGATTATTAAAATTATGTTTCCTTTTTATGATTAAAGGTAATTCACTAGAATATGAATAATGTTGGAATAGACAAGCCTAGGGCACCATCTCCTGTACTATATTACAAAAAAACGGTCAAACGCTGTATCTGCACTTAAAATGAAGCATTTTTATTACAGCCGGACGTGACAGAACATGCTAAAATTTTAAAACCTATCTGTATTTGCTACAACCTATTATTTTCAAGTTTTCTGACCGTTCCTTTCAATGATAAGGCTTTTTTGTTGTTAACAATTTTTAAAAGTGCTTTTTCGTGAAAAATAACACAATTCTGATAATTTTTATTTAACCTTATTATCTAAATTCGCATTTTTATGATTAACCACGATTAAGATTTTTTTATGTGGTAGAGCTGCAGCTGTATTGTGGTTGTAGTACGAATGGGTCTGCTCAATCTGGGAAGGACCACACGCTCACAAAATACCAGGGCCGAATACTAATGCTGCTGTTTCGTATAGTGAGTGTAGAGAACCGGATACCCTTTTTACTAGTAACGAGGCATTCTATCTTAGTTCTGCGTTGTTATCTCCAAGACATTTTGATTCTTAATTGAGGAGAGCCGAAGGTGTAAATGCGACACAACATCTAATTATTATCATTATATAAAATTAAAATAAAATAAAATAGCATTTATTTTTCGGTGTCTTTGAATTTTTAATTAACACTTCACAATACGCAGTCACAAATATTTAGCTCGCCGTTTTATCCTTGAAATCTAATCCCCAGTCGAATAATAAATGTGCCAAATTTCATTCATATACGTAGAGTAGTTTCTCTGCGAAATTCGTCTGCGAACAGGAAGATTTTACGTTTCGTTAAAGTTCCGTTTTGTTGACCAGAGCTCAGAAAATTATGTAAAATTATGTAATAAAACATTTATTAAGTAGAACCTATATTTAAATAATAGTTTTCAATATTTGTTACGTAATTTATTGTTTGTAGTCTTCATTAGTTTTGCGTATGATTCCGACAATAGGTAAATACATTATAACATATGAAACGTGGTCCCGCTTTTTTACAATTTTACCGCCACAGAGGAAAGTCTATTTCGATGACGTAACATGGAGTACGACAGCGGCGCAAAATTTCCTCTATTTTATTAACCTCGCAATAACAATAAAACACCTGTGCCTAGCCACTGGATGTCTACAATACAAATAACTTTACACCTTTATTTGATTTCGGAGTTTAATGAGCGTACTTATAATATAATATATCACTTCTTATAAAGCTAAATTACAATAAAATATTACTTTTTAATGTAAATTGTGAAAGCAAAACGTCTTCATTTCTATCGCAGGTATTCATAATTTCATAATACCTTTTCACACGCTTTCTTCAATAGACCAACGACTTGTAACGATTAAGGAAAATCTTTACGTTTTCAATTATTAGTATTATTTATAGAAAAGATCCAACAAAGTTTTTATAATATTAATTTATTATCACTTAAAACTACATATACAAAAGCAAATCATGATTTGAAAAAAAAATATTGTGATTTTTATTATTCGACAATTCTTTGCAATAGTTTTTTTTTTAATGAAACGCCATCTATCGGATCCTAGCATAACTATGAACGATCATCTTGACAAAATAAACAATATATTGTGTGAATATAACCTCAATGGGTCAAGTCGTTCAGAAGTTACACGATCACTTACGCACCAACGATTATATTATCCTTTTTTTACCCGACTGGGTGTTGAAAAGGAGGGTAATGTGTTTATCAGTCTATTTGTGTATGTATGTATGTTTGTTAGTTCCTCTGTGGTGCTCTAGATACCAAACGCGTGGGTCAATTTTAAAGATTTTTACGTCTATCGATTTCTCTTAATCTCGTGAGTGTCACTATGGACATGACTGTAACCAAATTCAATATGGCGACAACCAGACGCCATATTGTCAAAAAGAAAAAATGAAAGTCGACGACCAGGTATCATTGAACAGGTCCTTGTAAATCATCCTTAGGTTTCCCTAATCATTTTTCATTTTGTAAATGACCATTAAGATCTATAACGATTTAAAGTTTGTTAATTTTAATTTAATTAAATAAAATTTAAATAAGCCGTAAATTTTAAAAAATCATAATAAAACTCTGATAAAGTTCTTATATAATAGTGCAATAGGTCTTATTAGTACAAGTTTAACGCAGATGGGATTCTTTAAAATGGTATGTAACCATTAGGCTTGTGTTATATAAAATTGTAGTATGCGTGTGTTCGTAATTCTTGTCCTCGCAAACGACTTGACTGATTTTAATAGAATTTATATGGGATGCTAATGGGGTCACGTGGCTGGGTCTTAGTTTGTTGCTCTTATTGTTGGACCCGGTAGATGACCCTGTTGTCGAGATCCAAAAATCTTTCGTGCGAAGCCGGGGTAGATCGCAAGTGTACATAGAGGGAAATGTAACACGATTTAGGATGCAGCATCTTTCTGATATCAACGGGGGAACGGATTTTTTTCAGTAGTTACCACGCTTGGCCAGACGTTTATCAACCGCAATTTTATATCAGGTATGCAAGAAGTCGACGTATGCCAGTCACTCCGGACCGTGCATTGTGGGATTCCTTGAGGAAGGCCTATGTTCAGCAGTGGACTTGAAGGGCTGTAATGATGGTGATAATGATATTCCTGATATCTCTATTTTCCTATTTTCTAAAAAAACGTTACCCACACACTAGGATTTTCTCCTGTATCGTGGAGGCAGTTTACAAACACAAATTGCACAAGGACAAACATCCAGACCCGGAACAATTATTTGTAGGCCATACAAATACCTACTTGTTCCGATTCGAACCCGCGCCCCCCAGCGCAGCAACCCATTGCTAAGCCACTGCGCCACGGAGCCAAATCAAAATGATAATAATTGCGCTTGTAAACCTGCTCGCCAACCGTGGCAACTTTGGCAAACAACGATTACACACCTACGAAGCAATCTATGTTGGAGGCATATTATGTTTAGTAGTGATACGGTGTAATGAATTAATAAAAATAAATGAATATAAAAGACAACATTTAAAATGAGAATAAGCACTCGCATTAAATTTCATTCCACACGAGCAACCCGAGTCGGACTTCAGCCAGCGTCTATATTTTATTGCAGTTTTGATTGCAGATCTAATATAGGAAAACCCTGGAGTACTTTAAATAAACTCTGATGAAAGTGATATGTGGAAACTTGTAATTAGCAATTCTTTCTTTTCTTTTCAACCATTTTGTAACTTTACAAAGATATTTGTCTGTTTGTCTTCTTAAAACAAATAAACAAATAAAATACCAGGAAACATACGTGTATTATATACATACGTTAGAAATTAAAAAAATATATGTATAAATTCGAGGACTGCGAAGTCCGCCTACTTCACTGTAGACACGCTCCACTCAACTTTTGCAAAAAATTTTGTAGGTCTATACGTAGCAGGACACGTCCCACTGCAAAGCACAGGTGTGGATTTTTTTAAGTAAAAAATTACAATTTATATTGAATAAAAATTATTGGGTGTTTATATATAAAGTAACCACTTCTCAGTGGTCAACTGTTTGCTCGTTTCACTTTTGACGAAATCTCATTTCATCATCAGTTTCATCATCATCATTGTAGCTCATCGTAAATTTAATGACATTTTCTGTGTATCTTTAACAAATTATGTTCTGCAATAAATGATTTAATATTATTATTATATCATTAAATAAGTTATGTTTATGATTTTGTTAATATATTATTAAGTCGGGTCTGATGTGAGTTACGTTTACATTGATTTATATTATTTTATAAATATTAAATAAGTTTTATATTTTCAATATTATTATGAATACTTATGCATTTGATATATTAATTTTAGTAATGAGTTATAATTTTATTATTAGAATTAACTTGAATAAATGTAATATTACCCTATGATCCTTGTTCGTCGACATAAATCAATAAATAATGTAAATCCATCGCTAAACATATTCCTCCCGAGGATCGCCACAAAGTACTGCATCCATCAACTCTCTATCAAGGTCGATACACCATCCAATGCAGACACTCGGAAAACCATATAGGCTATAGAATCTTCAAGCTGCATAGTTGGCCCATTACCTCTTCAGCTTACTAATCCGTATGTTAGTTATTCTGGTTCTACTATTTTGCATTGTATCACGCAGAAAAAAAGTTTAGAAAACTATACAGATTAAAAGATCTACGTTTTTCACATGACATTCAAAACATTCCATGTTGTCCGTATTCATGAATGGATTGAACTATACGTGGTAGAGTCATGCCGCAGCTATATTATGGTTGTAGCACGAATGGGTTGGCTCGACCGGGGAAGGACCACGCTCTCACAAAATACCAGCGTAAAATAGCAGCTTAACGCTGCTGTAATTTGTATAGGGAGTGTTGAGAACCGGAGACCATTTTTACTGAAAACGAGGCATTCCATCTTAGTCCTCACGGATGACAACACATCTGCATTTTGATTCTTAATCGAAGATAGATGTAACCACCTACCATCCACACCACAGCAACCACCTACCATCAGGTGGACTTTGTGCTTGTTTGTCACCCTTATCCTATAAAAAAAGCTATGTTTTTTTATGTATTCTTATCTATCTAAAAACGTTTTCCATTAGGATTAAGCCCGCAACAGCGGAGAAACTAAAATAGAAGTATTGTTCTTTTGAGTCGAAATCTATTTTAAAAATTTTCCGCTACGGTGCTAAAATCTACATTAAAGTGATGTTCAGAAGCCGCATAAGGCCGACTACAATGTCTACGCGTAGAGCTCGTTAACTGTTCGAAGCTAGTCGAAAGCTAGCGACGGTCGGGGTAGGACTATCCGTACCGCGTACAGTTGAATACGTAGCACTGCTTACGCGGAAACTTTGTTTCTTTAAATTACATAAATCTCTATTAAATTAAAACATACGATGACTCCAAAAATAATTTAATACAGTTTTACGAAGTTATTTATGACTTTTGGATAATGTTATAAACTGTACGTTTATAATTACAAGGATTTTCTTGATCTTAAAATTTTATAAAAGTGTTTATTTAATAAAATAATTACTGACATGAGTGATAAATAATGTTGTTATAAGTGAATACAGGCGTTTCTTAGTGTGAGAAGATTTACTGTAAGTAGTTAAAAATAAAATAATAAAATATTTTTATAACATTATTATTAATCGGTCAATAAAAAACATTATTTCAAATAAATAATAAAAAAGAAAAAACATTATATAGGCGCCTTTTGTAGTTAGGATTAATTAAAAAATATTTTAACCATATTTTTATAAATTTGAGTAATCTGTAAAAATCTGGTAAACTTCAAGAAAACATTTTGCTATAAAATTTACTTTATAGCAAAATATTTATTTTCACGCGAATCTTATTAAATAATTAATTAGTAAGTTATTTTATAAACATATCGTGATAACATATTTTCCATTTATGCTCTTTTTTTCAGCCATTAACCACTCGAACAAAAGGGACTAACATTAATGTGATTTAAAATTCAATTAGATTATCCACATTTTCAGCAGTAAAAACATACATCGTCAGAAAACCTGCACGTCTGATAAATTAAATATTTCTAGGACATGATGTGAAGTCCGCTAACGCACAATAGTGCAGCGCTGGCGATTAACTGCTCCTTAAGACTCCCAGAAATGAGAGAAGGCTTTTGCCTAAATTTGGGACCTATTCTGTAACTTTTACAATGAATTCAATTTTCATGCAAGTTCACATGAAACTAATTTTTTCAGCAGATTGTTGTGAAGTGTGGAAAGTCCAACGATTTTTACCTTTTACCTTCGACGCATTTGTAAACTGCTAAATGATCGCTTCAACGTGTAGTGGCTTTTTAAGAATATCCACTACCCTTTACCATCCCGTGGGTTTCGTACGAGGCGACAGAGGGGGAAAAATCAGGAGATAGGCAGCAGCAAAAAAAATATGCACTTACCAAATCGCTTGCCAAGCTTGGCAACTACGGTAAATATATAAGGCAGTCTAGGGGGAGGCCTATGTTCCGCAACGTACTTGTGATCGAATGAATTCATTTGAAAGTAGAATAAAATTATTAAACTGATTTAAATTTATAAAACTTATACCATTAAAATTACAACACCAGCAATTATGTTGGTAAAGTTAAACAATATTTTATATAAGACAATTATAACAATGTTTTTTTTTATATTATAATCGGTTAAAACTTTAATAATTATTGCTGTGTACGTACAAAGCAATAATTAATTAATATTTTCGCCCAAATTGATGTAATGGAATATAACAGAAGATATATTTTTACGCTAAACCATCACGTTTACCCGATCTAATATATTATATTATTATAATAAGATTACTTATAGCAATATAAACATTACGTATATTCCTGGTGTTAAGAATCCAGACCAAAGACGCACCTTTGCGTTGCGCACCTTTGCGAGACAAAGGAATTACGACACTCAATCAAATGCAAATCCTATAACGGGATAAACCTCGGACTTTGACAGGTCAATGAAGAAATAATTGCATTATTTGAAAACCAGCACTGTTGTTTCGTCAACAGCATAAGCTGAGTGGGGTCCCTTTGCCCAACACGTCACAGCACACTTGGCAAAATGTATTTTACATGTAATTATAAATACACCTTTTTATATTTATGTTTCTTTTTATCAGAGCTAGGTTAGATAGTTGGTTAGGTAAGGGTTAGAATGATAGAAGAATTAATATGATAGATTTTGAATTTAAGTTAAGTAAAAGGAGGAAGTTACAGCCTATTATAACATCCCACTCCTGGGCACAGGTTTCCTCTCATTTCTGAGAGGATGTCTTCGATTTTTTCCCTATTTCTCAGAAATGCAGGTTTCCTCACGACGATTTCCTTCTCCGCCAAGCACGTGGTAAACCAGCGGCGGGGATCGAACTCGGGTTGCTCGCGTACTGTGAAATTTACAGCGAGCGCTAACCATCTGAGCTACCACGGCTCTTATTTAATTTAAATTCAAAACTGAATAGTATTATTCAGTTCGCCGAATAATTAAATTCAAAACTATTACACGTACAGAAACTTACTGTTGTCAACACAAATTTTTATTAGTTCTATTCACAATAATTTGTTAGTGGATATAAAGTATGGCCTCCCAAGTTAATTTATTTTCAATGATTTTTCCATGATATCTGATAATATCAGTTTTGGCCTAATTGTGTTGAGTCTATAATGTGATTGCAGGCATCCGACTGTGATAATAAACAAGTCCTTATAATAAATTGTCTACAAACCAAGTCACTAACCTCAGACCATTTTATGCGAGTTGTGCAATTTTATCCCAAGTGTCGGCATATAAAATCAATACAATATCATCAGGAAACATTGTCAAATCAAGATTTTTGATGTTGATTTGAATAGCTTAATTTTAAGACTGGACGAAACAGCCTAATTTCGCTCATATAACTTGTTAGAGGTGCTTTTGTATTTTTGCCAACTTTGACAGATTATTTTAATTATTGTTCGGAATTTGCTACACCCAGTCTTAGGCATTTTGTCAGGTTACCAAATGTTTAGTTAGTTTTCTAACATTTTTTTTAAATGCCACCGCACGTGGTGTACATAAACGGCTCTGTGGCGCAGTGACTTAGTATTGAGGTCGGCGCTGAGGGCCGCTGATTCGAATCCCGTACGGAACAAGTATTTGTATGACCTACATATAATTGCTTGGGTATGGATGTTTGCCCTTGTGTAATTTACTTGTATATTTATGCAAAATGCCTCCACTATACAGAAGAAAATCCTAGTTTAATCCTATACTGAGGGTAACGGTATTTTTATTAAAATCAAATGGACGAATAACGGTGGAAAAATCCATCCAAAACCCTGAACTCAAATTTTATAGAATTATAACGGGTATTCATATTTTGAGGACATGTGAAGTCTGCCAGAACGCACAGGAGTAACGCTGAGATATTACAGATCAAATTTAAAAGCTCCAAAGCAATAAGCCTTATACGTGGTAGAGCCATGCTGCAACTATATTATTAGTATAGTTGTAGCACTTATGGGTCGGCTCGACTGGGGAAGAAACACGCTCTCACATAATACCAGCGTAAAATAGCAGCTTAAAACTGCTGTGTTTCGTATGGTTAACGAAACTATTGTATAATATTTTAATATTAGTGTGTATTATTCCAATTTTGAGCGAAGGCCTCTCTTTCCTTTCTTGATAGTGTTCGATATCGATAAGTTACACATTCCTTCTCGCATGGGTCACTCCTCACATCTTCGCCGTGACCGACCGTGTTGACATATCACGTCTTATTGGACCCAATTCATAGAAGGTCTACAGCTCCACCGGCAATATTTTATGATAATATAATAAGTGACATATAAATGAATACCTTGTTACTAACACAGTTTGTTTTATTTTATCAACTAAGTATATTATTTCACAATTTCTCTCAGCAGTTCTCCAGTTTATGCACTATTATTACTAAGCACAGATTTAATCACGAGATAATTTGTAGCGACCTCAGTCTGTCACCCTACAAATTGTAAGAATTAATGGAAAACAACTTTGGAATCCTTTAACTTATCACAAATAGTTTTTAAGACTTTGTATAAAGTAAGGTACTAAATATAAAATAATAGTGAAATGTATGAATATATGATAAGAGTAAAATTTGTAATATAAATTTAGCTTTGATATAGCCTTTGGTTTTTGAGTCATAATATTAAAAAAAATAAAACAATACTAAAATGTTTATACAAGATGTACTGTATAAAAATGTACATTTTTATAGTTTAAGACGACTCACTCAAAACTTCTATTTAGTTTAAAATATTCTTGTGTAAATATTATATTTTATTTCATTTCACTTAATTTTTAACCGAGTACCAAAAAAATATTGGTACTTTGTTCGAAGCGTATGTATCTTTTCAGTATGTTTACCGATTTCTACGAAACCGCCAAAGTGATTTTGATGAATCCTTTTTTATTATTTTTATACTATATTTAATATATATAAAAAACACACCAATTTCAACAAAATAACTTTTATATAATTGCTGCTGAATTCGGTGAATTAGTTTTTAGATACACTATGTCTTCGCATCGACTTCAGAAGTTATTATGTGGATTATAATAATTATTTTGTTTTTTAAGTCTGTTTTACTTTTCTTTTTCAAAATTTTAATTATTTAGTATGTATTTTAGGGTCTGCACTCAGAGACTGCACTGCATGGCACGGTGGCGTGTCAAAGGATTTGTTTTCATAGACAAAAGGTTTTCGACCTTATTTTAATGAAATTAGCATTGACATTCCTTTATTTTAACACGAATAGACCATAACGACTCGCGCGACGCCACGGCATGCTGCTGTACGTCACATCATTCCGCCGAATGCTGCGGGACGTCACGGCATTTCACGTGATGCCGCGGCACGCCGCTGCATCACGTAAACTGCATAAGTTACTTCAAGTTGTTAAAGGAATGTGACTACTAAATAATTGAAACAAGGTTGAATCTAGACCGTTTCGGCGGCAAACTCAACGACTCAGCGACACGGGCGAACCCCCGGTACACGAGCGCATCTTGACTTGTTTGGCATGCCGCGGTATGCCACAGGATCCTTCGGCATGACGCGACATGCGCCAGGATCGGTCGGCACACCGAAGTGTGCCATGCCATGCCGCGCCTTGCCATTCTGTGCCGTCTGTAGGCGTAGGCCCTTTAATAAGACAATAATGTATAAGTTAGTGCTGTGTGGTAAAGGCAAGAGAAATCACCTCAATTCGTCTTCTAGTAAGAGGCGACTATGGGCTATACCAGAAAGTTCTCATGGTCTCCGATATATGGCAGTAAAACAATCTTGCTTACGCCAGACCAAAAATGCCCAAAGATGTTTGGGTCTGTGATCACCAATCGGCTCTCCGAGCGAAGCTATTAAACTAAACCTACCAATCTAATATCTACCAATAGGAGGGGCCTGTATCTAATAGTGGGTTTTAACGAGCTGTTGAAGAAGAAGAGAAAGAAAAACGAGTTAGAAAGAGGAAAAACGGAGGAATCCTTAAAGGTTCATGTAATAAATTTATTATTACTGATCTGACTTCACTGTTCGTATTCTGCCCGTAATA